AAAGTAGGCTAGGCTAGCTGGCCATCAGACTCCAAGGACCCACCTGCCTCTACCTTCTAGCATTAGAATGATGTAATCTGACTGGTTTTCACCCTGGTTCTGGGAATTGAACTCAGGTCCTCAGGCTTGCAAGGCAAGTACTTTACCAATTTAGTTATCTACCCAGCTTTCCCCACCACCTTTATGGCACAAGTCTTATCCTGTAGCCCAGGCTGATGTGGAACTACTGTGATCCTCTGCCTCTCCCTTCTGAGGGCTAGGATTTCCAGGCATGTTCTATCATGTCTGGAAGAATATAGGAGATTAAACATGGGGTTTCCATATAAGCAAGCATAAAACAGCTAGAGAAAGGCATAGCACCATGAGCAAGAGGGGTCAAAGGAAGAGAGCCCAGCTGAGAAAGGGTCTGAAGACAAAGACAAGAAGACTTCAGAGAGGAGGTGACCTTAGTTTGACCTTGAAGGTGCTTAGGACTCAGATAGATCTTAGACCTTCACTTGAAGGGTAATAATTGTGAATGTCTCCAGGGCTTATCTCTTGTTGATCCCAGGAGGTGCTGAGGCACCAAGAGCATAATTGTCCCCACTTCTCAAAGGTACACAGGGGTTTTAGTCACTTATCTGGGCTCACTGGGTAGAAGGCAATTAGAGCCAGGACTTGAACCGAAGTTTTCTGATTGTGGAAAGAAGAGAGTGGACAGCTTTATGTCCTCTGGTTCCCAATCCATCATGTCCATCTTCAAAAGGTAACCCATAGCTTGCACATAAACTTAGCTAAGATTCTCTTTCTCTTGGAAGGCTTGGTGGATAGGAGGAAGCCTTCTCTTGGGGTGAGAATCCAGGTCTTCCCTCAAAGCAGTGAGTGTCAACCTCTGGGGTATGCGTGCTGAAGGGACCAGCTCCCTATTTCAGCAGCCATAACAGCTGAACATGTGCTTGCCTGACCTTGTCTTGGTCACTAGGAGGTCAGATGCCTGCCTCATGGCAAGGAACCAATCAGAAGTTAGCTGGTGGTGCTATGCTTTACAGCTCTGGGGGGGCTTTACGGACAAGTGCACAGCAATGATGCACAGAGCATAGCAACCACCCTGGGAGGGCCTATGGGCCATAACAACCAGTTGACCAATCAACACAGGGCAAACCCTCCAAGCCTGGAGGCACACCAATCCTGAGCCTGTGCGTACCCCTAGACACTCCCCTTACGCTGCCCTATAAAATCTCTATGCAGTAACTTCGAAGTGTCTTTCCTAGCCACCTGCCATGGTGGATGGGTGAAAGGCCTGAGCTAACATGGGGTTAGCTCGTTAAACAACTACAATAAAGCCTCTTGCTGTTTGCATCAAGTTTCTGTCTCTTCATGGTGATTGGGGTGGCCGAGGTCCTGGGCTGAGATCCTGGGGTCCTGAGCCTCTGGGGGTCTTACAGTACAACCCCAGCCTCACCTGCTCTTGGGGAAAAGGACAGACTCTTCTATTTTCTGAATCTCAGTGCCCCCAACAGTTTGGAGGGAAGGCTGGACAATATTATTAAAATCATTATTAATTATCATTATCTTTCTCATTGTCCTCCTAATCTTCTTTTTTGGAAGCAAATTTATTCAACACTGGTTTAGAGGAATATTAAGGAAATCTGCATCTCAAATATCTATCTTCAAGGGCTCAGGGAGTATCAAGAGCTTTTAGGGATACAGGGGTTTCGGTTAGACAGTGGGTGGGAAATCCCACAAGTGGGTGAGTATTTATCATTGAAGGGCCTCCCTTCTCCTCCTACTTCTCCTTTCCCCTGATACCCAGTGCTGAGGATGGAACTCAGTAAAATAGCCCATGCTAGGCAAGAACTCTGCCACTGAGCAGCCTGGACCCCCCCCCCCCAACTTCTTCTTGAAGAGGCCTCTGGCCTCCTGGGACATCTGCATTTCCTTTTTAGATGAACCAGTTGGTAAGAAGAAGAAAAGGCCTGGGAGTGTGTGTGGGGGGAGGAGGGCATTCCAGAGAATATTATATATGAAGGACGGACAGGACAGTTAAAGGATAAGGGAGGGGTGGTAATGAAAGGGTCAGTGGACAGCCTGTGTGAGGCAGAAATTGGTGAGGGAAGCTAGCTGGCCTGTCTTATCTCTAATGGTTTAGCATCCTCTCAGGGAAGCTAGCCTATAGTCTAGATTATGGGTTAGTGGGACCCCGGTTCTTTCCATCACTTCACCAATTGCTTTCCAGACTTGTGTGTGGCTGAGGCCATCTGAAAATTGTTAATGGCAGATCCCTTGAGTTGTGGTGGCCCATGCCTGTAATCTTAACACCCTAGAGGCTGATACAGGAAGGCCTGAAATCTGAGGTCAGCATGGGCTCCAGAGTAAGACTCCTGTCTCAAAAAAACCCAAACCAAATCAAAACAGAACAAAAATTGCAAGGCCCTTGGCTCAGACCTTAGTGGTGCCTCTTAACCGAAGGTCTATTGTCTAACAAGCCACCTGGGTGATTCAAATACATAGCTAGCTTTGGGGGTTGCTGGGAAGGATCACACCTCCCCCCATTCAAAACCCAGTGCCTTCATCACTGGATAGCTCTGCATATTAAAAGTATTGTTTGCCTGTGCTGGGCGACAATTTGTGGTTTGTTAGGGTCACATAAACAGAGGCTTGTTTCCCTCAGCCATTTAGCCCCAGATCCAGGTTTTTCTTTTTATTTAGCCTTGTATCGTTTAGATGCCCCAAAGAGTTACTGCTCATGCCTTGAGGTGACGCACATAGTGCTGCGAGCATCCAGCACTGTGACTTCCATATAAATGAGATGCTGATGTATGAGTGTGAGAGGGCACCAGCCAAAAAGACCCCATGGGGAGGTTTGGTTCATGGATATAAATCTGAAATTAAATTATTTTGAGAAAATTACAATCCGGTTGCCATTGGCAGCAGGATAATGTATATATTTCATTAAATATTAAAGTTTAATTTTGCTTTTGTGTATGTGTTTGCATTGGGCTATGCCCCTGGTCCTGGAAGTCACTGCAGGATACAGAACCACAGTCCAGGCAAGGCCTCAGAGCTGGGAGGGTCTGGTTC